TCGGTTTAGGGTTTAGGGTTTAGGGTTTAGGGTTTAGGGAATTTACTGTTGTTTCTTTTGGTAGCTCCATGGCTCCAGGTCATAGTTTTGCATGGCACGCTCTCGCTTTGGAGTCTTATCAGAGTGCTCTTGGGATCTTGGAGTTCTCTGGGTGGGTTTAGGGTTTAGGATTTAGGGTTTAAGGTGGAGCCGGGGGAGCTCTTCAAGATATCTGGTCACAATTCGGCGAGCTCTTGTGGGCCGCTTTTGGAGTGGTCTGGATGTTCTTACACTGCTACCTCGACTCCCGAAGTACGTAAAACAATGGCCTTATTGACTGGATTGGGGGTGTTAGGGACCTTTTTGACTCTTGGGGCCCCAGGTAGCTGTCTGGACAAGTACGAAGTGTTACCAGCACCTGCATGCATCCACCAGGCTTGGAAATCCCCAGAAAGGAAATGGAATAACCGTCGTAGTAAGAATGCAATGGTTGTAATTGTAATGGTTGGATAGGAATACCAGTAGGACAGGGATCGTGGTGGCATAGACCCAGAATGGTCGCAAGAGACAGAGGAGACTTTACCTGCGCAAAATGACCCGAATAGGCACCTGATAGCAATCCAAATCTGCACAGAACGAAGTGCGGAATGGTAACCCAACGATACGTGGATGGTGAGAACCATGAAGCTTGGGTATCATTGGTTTATCCTGAGCCCCAGACTCCCAACTTTAAACCCTAATCACGTGAGTTCAAGGCTTCTAGTTTAATCTTCGAGCTTGATGGCGAAACGTTCATCAAGTTTGAGCCTAACCGAAGTGGGTGCGCGCAGCATGGGGGGGTTTAGGGCTCAAGGTCGCAGGGGTTGGGATAAAGGGTTTAGGGATTAGGGTTCAGGGTTTAGGATTTAGGGTTTAGGGTTCAGGGTTTAGGGTTTGGGATGAAGGTTTGGGGTTAGGGTTTAGGTAGGTGCTGAAGTTTATGCTTGCCTTCTTCACAGGGTCCTCAAGTGTTATGTGAAGACCGAATTCTAGCCGCCTACTTCGAAATTGCAACCGCCAAGCAGCTCACAACACGAAGTCTATATTATCGGTCCTAGCCGCAACACAACAGCAACACTAGCGAAACGCAGGCATGGCTAGTTTCCGAGGATTGGAGGAGTGGATTTCCAGTCCAGTGTAGCTCCTTCTTGGGCGCCGCTACCCTGCCTAGAGTAATCCCCTCCCCTAATCCCCACCCCCACTATAATAGGGCATACTAAGATGTGTTTGGAATATCTTTTTTTAGAGAGGGTGAGGGTCTTAATGTGAGGGGGAGGGGTTGGACACGGAATGTGACAGACGACAGGCAAGCAAAGTGAAGGATACTTGCAGGACTCACAGGCACTGACTATGCTGGACTTCTGGACGCCTCAATGCCTCTTTCCAAGAGGCCGTGACAGATCGGATATGTGAACGTGATCGGTATAGTTTCCAGAAAATCCCGGCGCAGAAGGCATGTAACTCACGGAGCTCTGAATCCTAAACCTTAAAACCCCGCACGTAGAGAATCCCTCGCCTGCTTTTTTCCCTTGAAGTAACAGTGCTGAGGTCAAACCCATGGAATTTCTGGAAAGCAAGCATGGAATTCTATGTGGAACCCGTGCTCCTTTGCAGGCATAATGTTTAGGGGAGTGTGAGCCTTTGCTATCTGAGACCGCGACACTTGCTGCCCTGGCGTGAGCCTACCAGCGGAGGACGGCTGCAACACCTGTGCCTGATCTGTCCTTTCAGTCAGTGGGGGCATTAATACTATAGCTTCCAAAAGGGAATACGATTATGTGCTCCTTCTGTTTATAGTGGTTTACTCGCAAGAGAGCATAACGTTACTTGATATGACCACCAACAGCACCCCTATCGCCAGGCCTCCAAAGCCTCGACATTTCTTCAGTGTTCTTGAACCTGGTTCTTTTAGATGTTTGTGTGGCATGTGGCAAGCGGCAAGTTAGGTATAGCTCCATACAAGGGGGAGTCCCGCATGGACGCTTTGCAGATAAGCTTGCTATGCGGTTTTTTGTTGTCGTGCCGTGTATTGTGTATTTGCGATTTGCGGGCTGGGAGACAGCAAGTCTGCTTTTTCCTGGGTCCAAGTTCATAAATAATACCTACATTGGGCCCCAAACCCTATAAATAGTACCTACATGGAGCCTTAGGGTTTGTCCTGGCATCAGGTTTCAAGGACAGTCGACATGGCACAAGCCCGAAGCAATGCCTTGGGGTTACTGATTTAGGGTTTAGGGTTTAGGGTTTGGAGGTACAACCTACACAAAGCAATAGTTCATCAAGGTTTGAGCGGACGAGATTGTGCATGATGAGCCGAAAGCTTGTATGTACTGTAGGCCTAGGCCACAGGATTTTGGTGTTTCAGCTTGAGGGTGAAATCTTGAAGTTGACAGTCATGTTGCAACTGAGGCCTAGAATACAATATCACCTCCGCTAATCCATTGTGCAAGACTTCCGTATGCCGTGAGAACTCAGGGGTGCAAGCGATTGGGAGATAACAGAAAAGAAGAGTTGGACATGGAAGCAAAATGGTACTTAGGAGCAGAGAGCCATAGAGAGCGAGAAAGGCACTGAAAGTGCCTTCAGAGAATATCTTGGGGTCATATTGGGGATAATGGAAAAGAAAATGGAAACTACTATGATTAGTCGTTTCGATTTTCTTTTTCCATTATCCCAATATAATCCCAATACAACCCTAATATAACCCCAATATAACCCTTGTTCGGGTATATATATATATGTATGTATCTATAACTGGTCTAGAAATCCTCCACTAAAGCGATGACTGTCTCAAAGACCCGGCCGGCTGAGGCATTTGTCCAGCTTCGGGCAGAATGTCGGACCGCAGGGTTGGGAAGCTTCATCTTACCCAAAGGGTCCATGTGAGCAGCCGCATTTATTTACGTAAGAGAGCTGAAGAGGGACCTCGCTGGTATTTTTCCTGATAAGCCAGCGTTCCTCTGGGAACTAGATAGGGC